GCAGCGCACACCGACCTCACCGCCCCGCAACTCCTCATATGCCATGGACCTGCTCGCAGCGCCGTGCCGGAAGTGTGACCGCGATAAAAATAACCCGAAATTCCTTTGTTACAACTTCCGATTTGGCCCACGACCTGATGCAGGGAACTAGGGAAAGCAAAGTTTAGAGCCACACATCTCGTATTTTCTTAGAAATTCTCTTTGGAAAAGCAACCTCATGCAGTCAAATGAAATTGCTGTATTAACGGCCTAGCAAATTTATCATCTACGCCTTTCTCTTGTCTGTTATTGTAAATTTGGCCAGTTTGAGGTATTGCTCCCACATTCGTCCCAAGAAAACAAAAACTCCCTCTGATAGCTGCTGACCTGACCAGAAATCCTAAATAGGCGGGGTGATCATCTCTTTCGATTATTCCGCCGAAGCCGAAAATCGGCCCCCGTCGATTCTAGACCGTAACGCCTCGCTGTCCACTCGTTCGCAGCTTCAGTTGCCGGTTCTTTAATCGAACGCGCACCCGTTCAACGTATCTGCAGTGCACGCGATCGCAACGGCAAATCGCGTCCGTGGGTCGCCTCGGAGCGACTAAGAAGTAATGATGCGACATTGACAACGAAACATCAATATTTGAAAGTTGGTTTAGTAACATTTAACATTAAAATCATGCGCAAAAAATATAATTTGACAGTTGCGTGGTTTTTTGTCTTTTGCCTTTATTATTTATGTAGTTATTACTTTAATATTTATGGAAGTCCATATGCTGCCCCCACCTTCCGCTGGGTTTCAACCACGGTTATATCTTACACAGTGTTCAAATCAAACCTCTTGGTTCAAATTACATTTTTACCATCTCAATTTAAAAAAAAAATTCTGTCTCGCGTTGTGTGTAGTTGTGTTTCTTTGAATCCGTTACAATTTCTTTGATTAGTTCATACTGTTGTTCATGTTTTTCATTTCTATTAATATATTGTTTCATTGAAACATTCTATTTATTTATTTATTTCAATGATATTATTTCATCAATATTTTTCGCCACGTAGTTAATTATTGCTAATAA